ATTCGAACCTGGGTCTTCTGTAAGAATAGTGTTCTTAACCGCTGAGCCATCTCTCCAGTCCCTTGTTTATTTTGTATAAAGGAGGTAATTGCTCTTGCCACAACTCAGAAGGTGGAAATGGTATAGTGAAGACCAAGGGGTAGTTCTCTTCCTTCTGTGAACAAGCACAAACATGCAGATTATTGTTTTAGCATCAAGGATACATATGTGTATCGTGTTTTTCAGGTTTTTTTTTTTTTTTTTCCACTCGATAAAAGTTTCCTGGAGTTCATTTTTTTTTTATTTTTGGCTGGTTTTCTTTTTTTTTGAGACAGGGTCTCATGTGACCCCTGCTTGCTTTGAATTCTGTGCTGCTGAGGATGACCCTGAACTCCTGATCCTCCTGCCTCCACCTCCCCAGGGTTAGGATTTACATGCATACACCACCACAACTGGCTATATTGTACATGTCTCTGAAATTTTGATATTTCCAGTTTCCTTCTTACTGGTTAAATGGATTGATTTAGAATCCCCATTTCTTCAGTGTTTTTAAGAGATTATTGCTGATATTTTAGAACTGATAGGCTAAAAGCGGTGTTTTATTGTGGTTCTAATTGACATGTTCTTTTAAGGAGCAAAATTGAGAGCCATTCTGAATGCAAAGAAGCACCTGCATTTTTCTATTGGGTTAAATTTTGTTGTTTATTGGGCAGTATACATTAAAGACTATTGTGTTTTCTAATCTATTTTTATGGTACACATTCTTCCTAATTTGCCTTTTTGAGTTACTTGGGAGAAATGTTTTTATGAAGCTAAGTTTTTCAAACTTTATCACTTTAAGGGTCATGTGACATTTATACCTCAAGATAACAACATGACTGAAACAGATTTCTTTAAAAAATTTAAAAAACTATATTTATTTGTGTGTGGGGTGGTGGTGATTCTTTTGCAATAGCACACTTACCGAGGTCAGAGGACAACTTATTTAAGTTGGTTCTCTCCTTCTGCCGTGTAGGTTTCAAGGATGGAACTCAGGTTGTCAGGCTTAGCAGTAAGCACTTTTTCCTGCTAAGCCATCTCCCCAGTTCACTGCTTCCTCTCTTTTTTCTTTTAATTAAAAATATTTTAAATTTACTTATTTTTATTTTATGTATATGAGTGTTTTGCCCTCATGTGTATTAGTGCACCCATGTTGTGCTGTGCCTGCAGAGGCCAGAAGAGGGTTTCAGATCCTCTGGAACTGGAGTTTGGATTATTGTTAGCTGCTGTGTGTATACTAGGAACTGAACCCAGGTCCTCTGCAAGAGCAGCCAGTGCTCTTAACCACTGAACTATTTTCCCAGCCCCCATAGCTTCCTCTTGTCCAGCACTTTTATACTTAAAAAAACAAAAACAAACAAACAAAAAACTACACAATTGTCCGAACGCCACTGTTTTAAAGTGGATTGCAATTGTATCTGCTGAGTTAAGGTGTACCTTCATTGCATGCCACCCTCCAAATCCAAGTTGAGACTTTGGGAGACTGCTTTCCTCTACTTCTCTGCTGTTTTATTCTCAATTTCTACAGCTTAGCTTTTGGGTGCACTTCAATACTTAGTCCTCTCTTTTTAAAATTTAATTTTATTATTTCAGAATTTTTTTCAAATTCTGTGAGAATTTCATACATGGGTACACTGTAATTTGGTCGTATTCACCCTCATTTCTTCCTCTAACTTCTTCCAGCTCCACCTTTCATTCTCCCTTCCCCTCCCCCAGTTATCTCCTCTTCCTCTTCCTCCTCCTCTTTCTCCTCTCCTTTTCTATTATTTCATTTATTTATTTATTATTTATTTTTTGGTCTTTTTGAGACAGGGTCTCCCTATAGCCCCAGCTGTCCTGGAACTCACTATGTAGACCAGGCTGGCCTTGAACTCACAGAGATCTGCCTGCCTCTGCCTCCCCAGTGCTGGGATTAAAGGCGTGTGCCACCATGCCCGGCCCTATTGTTATTTTTAAATTATGTGTATATGTTTGTGTCTTTGTGTTGGTTTATACATGTGAGTTCAGTGCAGGAGTTACAGCCTGCTGTGAGGTGACTGATGTGGGTGCTGGGAATCAAACTCAGTTCCTCTGGAAGAGCAGCTTTTGCTCTTACCTGCTGAGCCATTTCTCCAGCCCTCCTCCTGCTCCTCCCCCACTTCCTCCTCCTCCTTTTTCTCCCCCTCCTCCTCCTCCTCCTCCTCCTCCTCCTCCCTCTCCAGTCTTTTTAAAATAATACCCTGGAATCTGAACTCTGAACCTCATGCATGCACGGCAAGCCTTTTAAATACTGAGCCATTTCCCTAGCCCTTTCAGATCCAATTCTGTTAACATTCCAAAAACTTTAGTTCCAAAGATCATTCTTCATGGTATATACAGGTAAGTGATATGAGATCAGACTGTTTAATTATCTTTTATTTCCTGTATTCCAGTAGTATTTAAATTTTTTCTTATAAAATTTGAGTAGGCTTGTCAGATTATTTGTGAGCATCATTTTTGAGTAATGATTCTACCTTTTTGTCTCTCATTTATAATGTATGTTTCTTGTTTAATTGTGTTAGCTAGTAATTCTAGGACACACTACATTAAGAACACTCAGGATGGATATTTTTCTTTTCGCTTTCATACAATTGCATTTTAATTTTCCTGTAGACCACTATTTTGATAAGGTTTATTCACCTCTTCCTGGTTTAGACTTATTTTTTAAAATTAAGATTAGATGCTGTTTTAGAAAATTCATTTTTATCTTGAAGAATGTGATTGCCCCCCTTCCCTCAAAGTTTGAATGTGTTGGAGGAGAAAGCTCTTGCCTGGCTCTAGGGAAGTTTACCTAATGGTAATGCAGATCTAGTTTTTCAGATCTTTCTATATGTTGGAATTGATATCTGGATCAATTTTCTTTTTTTGTCAAACATACACAATTTAAAATTTGAAGCAGTCTCTGTGCTGTTAGTTTGGAATCTCTGTTACAGTCTATTCCTAATTATAACTTGGTGAGAGTTTTATATTATGTCACCCTTAATATTTAAATCTGTATTTTCATGTTTAGAAAAGAAATCTGAGTTCTATTGTTAATTTTTAGCTAATGTCTCTCCCTCTCTCCCTCTTTTCCTTCCTTCCTTTTAACCCAGTCTCCTTGTAGCTCCAGATGGCCTGGAACTCACTATGTAGATCAGGCAGCCCTCAAACTCACAGAGCTCCACCTGTCTCTGTCTCCCAAGTCCTGGGATTAAAGGTGTGTGCCACCATGCTCAGTGCATGTGAATTACTCTTGCAGAGAACATTATTGGAGAAAGTATCTTTTCTTTCTTTATAGATTCACTCTTATGTATGGAAAATTCCTTGTATTTCCTGATAATAAAAAAGAGACAGATTTTCTTTTATCCTAACAAAATTATGTCTGTGCAGACACATTGAATTAAAATTGAGTTGAAATTTCATTAATCTGGCCATAGTTTATTTAATTTTATGCGAATTCATTATGTGAATTATCTGTGTAATTATTGTGGATGCCTATTAAATTTCATAGATAACTTTAATTGAAAATATTAAAGTATGGGACCAGAAAAATGACTCAGTGGTTAAGAGCACATATTGTTCTTTCAGAGGACTTGAGTTCAGTTCCTAGCACCTGTATCAGTGTCTCACAGCCACCTGTAACTTCAGCTCCAGGGTGATCCATTTGTACTCACATGCACAAATCCAGTCAGATACACATGTATACTCATAGTTAAATAATAGTATCTATAAAACTATATTGAAAATGGGGCTGCTCTTGCAGAGGACTTGAGATTAGTTCCAAGTGCCCACATCATGCAGCTCACAACCCTCTGTAACTTTAGCTCCAGGGGGATCTGACACCCTCTTCTGGCCTCTGAGGACACCAGGCATGTATGTGGTACACATCTGTACTTGCAGGCAAAACATTCATACACATAAAAAGAAAGACATCTTTAAAAAACTTGTATAAAAGAAAATATTAAAAATGATAGCTGAAGGCCAGGTGTGGTGGTGCACACCTTTGGTCCCAGCACTTGGGAGGCAGAGGCAGGCAGATCTCTGAGTTTGAGGCCAGCCTGGTCTGTATAGCAAGTTCCAGGTCAGCTGGAGCAAACAAAAAATAACTGAATTTTATTTAAAAGTTTTTAGCTTTTAAAAAATATTTTAGTATTTTATGAGTGTATTGCCTGTATGTATGTAAGGCACTCATGTCATGCAATGCCTGCAGAGATCAGAAGAGGGCACTCCAGTTCTGGAAGATCTGACGCCATGTGGGTGCTGGGAACTGAACCTGGATCCTCTCCAAGTGCTCTTAACTGCTGAACCTTCTCTCCATCCCCTAAAAGTTTTGGGTTTTTATAAATAATTTTACATTTCACATATAATTCCCTAATTTTTTCTTCTGTTGGAAATAGTTTTAAATTAGATCCAGAGTTGCATAATATCTGTAGTTTCAGAAGATAGACTTGCATTTGCCTATGAACTCTCCAGTATTACAAATGCTGCCTTTTTTCTGCAGTTAATTATTAATCCCTATAATATCATTGAGCTTGCATTTCCTGACTATTTGCATGACTTTCTGTTTGTAGTTTAAGATGTACTCAGCAAGTACTCAGGCCTCATTCCTTCTCTTCTCTCTTGAATTTATCGCAGAGCTATTTAATCACACATACTTTCATTATCATCCAGACTGAACTGACTCTTCTGGGACTGCTTGATTCACACACTGCTGCCTTCTCAGTCTAGGGCATTACAAATTGTGTCCTCATTGACTTTTAGGACTTTTTTCAAGATTAAATTATCATCCTTGAAACTTTTTGTGATGGCGGGAATTTCATTTTTCTGTGATGGATCCTTGTACCTTTGGATGAAAGCTTACAACTTTCCATTGGAGCAGTGTACCACTTTAGCCCCCTTGTCCCCAAGAAAAACACTGCAGGATCTTGATGTGGTACTGCAATTTCTTGGTTAGCTGGACTATTCGCCTTTCTTTGTCACTGTAGGCTCCATTCGTGAGGAGAACGGGGTACGGTGGCATGTATGTCCCTATTGCACGAAGGAGTTCCGGAAACCCAGTGACCTTGTGCGCCACATCCGCATCCACACTCATGAGAAGCCCTTCAAGTGTCCACAGTGTTTCCGGGCCTTTGCTGTGAAGAGTACACTGACTGCTCACATCAAAACTCACACGGGCATCAAGGCCTTCAAGTGCCAGTATTGCATGAAGAGCTTTTCCACCTCAGGGAGCCTCAAGGTGCACATCCGCCTACACACAGGTGAGCAGAGCTCTCCCAGTAGGATACTGTTGCAGAGCACAGAAGGGGCAATGGCCAGATTCTTAGAAGTCCATCCATCTTCCCTTCCCTGGAAACTTCTGCTTCCCTTTGTTGAGTTGTGACCTGTGACCTTGGTCCTCATGGAGCCAGTAGTATGGTAGGAGAGGCATTAGCTAAGTAATATTTGTAGGTGAACACATATTTGCAAAAGGTGAAGAAATGTTCTCTGGGAGGCCAGATCAAACCTTTCTATGGAAGAGGCACATATTCCACAATCTCAGGAGGCTTGCAAGTCTTAGCCAAGGACTCCACATCTTCTTAAGTAACAGTGTTATTAAGATATGATTCACATATCACAAAAGTCATAAAGTATACAGTTCTACTTGAAACATTTTTATCTAGCATCCTCCTACCCCATCTCCATACTCACCAGCAGTCACAGTCCTCAGGGCTCCCTGAGGACTGATTGAGGAAGACAAGAAGCTAAAATTGACCTACTTTGTTATGTTTGTCCTGGGAATCTGCATTTTCCTTTATCAGTAAAACTATAAGAGGAGGACATTTCCTTTACAAAGGGGACACTATAGTGGAAGATGTTGGGAGGATATCTTTGCTATCATCATTACTACTCAGTGCCAAATACCCCTCATTGCTTTCTATGAGATGCTGATTGGTGCCTAGCCCTGGTGTATGTAATCCCAACCTTCATCTAGAAGTATCCATGTTCAATTTTATGGATGTCAGTTGGAGAGACTGGGTTTTCTGACATATAGTTTAGAGTTCTTCAAGATGATTTGTTGTTTAATATACATATTTTACAACTTAAGGCTTTGTCTTGAAAATAGCAAATGTTGGCCTAGAGAGATGGGTCAGTGGTTAAGAGCACGGCTGCTCTTGCAGAAGACCTGGGTTCAATTCCCATGAATCCACATGGTGGCTAACAGTTCCATAGCTCCAGTTCCAGGGAATATGACACCCTCTTCTGACCTCTGTGGGCAGGGCATGGGTGCATGTACATACATGCAGGCAAAACACTGATACACATAAAAAATTATAAAATATTTAAAAAGCAAATGTTTATAGGTATGGTGACCCATGCCTTTAAATTCAGTGTTCCGAAGGCAGAGGCAGGCAGATTTCTGTGAGTACAAGGCCAGCCAGGGCTACATAGTCAGACCCTGTCAAAAAAACAAAAACAAAAACACACAAATGTTATTTCTCCTTTGAAAAGCTTTTATTATGTCCCCTAACATCCATAATAATACTGATTTGGAGTAAGAGGAAAATAGCTGATCATAAAATCCATGAAATCCTAAAGGTGGAGCAACAAGTCAGTATGGAAGTATGTTTCATGTGGGCATTTGTTGTTGATGTGGTTCCTGGAAATAATTCTAAAGCACGCTTTTTTTCATCAGGAGTTAGACCTTTTGCTTGTCCTCACTGTGATAAAAAATTCCGAACCTCAGGCCATAGGAAGACACATATAGCTTCCCACTTTAAACACACGGAATTAAGGAAGCTGAGGCACCAGCGCAAACCTTCGAAGGTTCGGCTTGGCAAGACAAACGTTCCTGTTCCTGACATTCCTCTGCAAGAACCAATTCTCATAACTGACCTGGGTAAGTTGGACCGTCTGGTGTTCAGCTGATCAGATACTCTTTCCTTTGGGACCATGTGAGAGATGTGTACGCATTGTGGTATGTGCAGGAAAATACTTTGTCTTAGAGTACTAATGAAGTTTTCCTTAGGCATTCCTTTGTTAGGCTATGTTCTACACTCAAGATTACGGTGCTTAAGCACTGCTCAGACTATGGTTTTTGGTTCAGAGAGAAAGTGTGAAGGGAACTAGTCTTGTGTAAGTCCTCATTACAGAAGTGCTTCTGCCTCTCTGGGCCCATCACAGTGAAAAGGGATTCTTATGTGAAGCAACCAGTACAGTTTGTTATTGTATCTCTGGAGACCCACATAGTGCATTATAGGTTCTGTTTAAGCTGCCTTAATCTTTGTATTTGGAAAGTAAAGGAAAACCGTAGCTGCCATGTGGGTGCTGGGAATCGACCCAGGTGTTCTGCAAGAGCAGCCAGTGCTCTTCACTACTGAGCCATCTCTTCAGTCCTAAAATGTCTCTCTCTATATATATTTACTGTTTTTCTGTATTATATATATCTGGGTGTGTGTCTATGTGTAGGTCTAAGTGTATAAAACAAAACCCTTTCCCCTCCTGCTTAGCACAGATGTGTGACATACCTTTTCCTCGTCTGAGCTCGGTTTTGGCGTGTCTACTAACCTCACTATTATAGTGGTTGATCTTTCAGGTTTACATTTGCTGTTTTAATCATTGTTAAAATATACTAAGCACATGTGTCTTTATTGTCTATCAAGGTTTATGGTAACATGTTACATGTGGGGTATATTTTTTTTGTGTCCTGTCATTTTGTACTATTTGCATTATGTTACTATTTGCAGTGTACAAAGACTCTAAGACTCAGTGTATTTTCCTCAAGCACGTTCATGAGTAAAGCTATTCTTTGCTATTATACAAGAAATTTTAAGGCATTTAAAGTCACTTTTAGTTCCATCTCCTTTTGAAATCAGTAGCTTCTAAAGGACTAAAAGTCCAATAGAAGTGTCTAATGTAGCCAACATTGTTAGGACTTTTATCTGTGTTGTATTTATCTTCTTTTTTTTAAAAAAAAATCCTTGAGACCTTATAACTGGCCTGTGTTAACAAAATTAGCAAAGGTAAAAAAATGAATATTGTTTTACTAAAAAGCTCAAAGGAAGACCCCATCGTCACCAAAGGCCCCTTACCACAAGGTCTCCTTCACAAATTGTTCACTTCAATATTGCTTATCCACCTGAAATATATAAGGGGAGCCACATGTCTGCAGTGAAATGCCAAGTCAACATCCAGAGGATGAGGGAGTTGAACCATCTGGAATGACTTAGAAGGTGTTAAGGAGTCTGTATGAAGCATGGGCAGTAGGCTTTAGGGAAAAGAATTGGAACATAACTTGGTCTTTAGGGAAAGTTGGGGAAAAAAGTGATTAAAAGGTGTGTACTTACTGTGTAAAAATTAGTAGTACTGCTGAGGGAGGAATGAGGATTGAAGTGGAGAGTTCTTGGAGGTTGTGGAGACCAAGACTAGAATGCTGGCAAAGGCCTGCTTGGTCTTGGCAGGAGGAGCAACAGTCCAGGACGGATGTAGTATTGAGAGGGTAAGTCTTCCTCCTCATGTTCCAGATAACTCTTCAATAATTGAAAAGTTTGACAACTAAATTATGTGTTCAACTCTGGTATTTTTGTGTTATGTTTAAGATGATTAAACCAAGGAAATCTTTTATTTAATAAAAACATGTAAATCGTGAAATAGATTAGTAATCTCACTCTTTGTAGATATCTCTTTAATAAAATTTCTGAAAAAATGCTGACCTTTATGGAACAAAGAAAATCATGCTAGAATTATTTATATTTTGAGTTTATTATTATACTTCATGCAGTATTCATGTTGAATAAACAAGAGATTTAAAATCCTGACCTAAATTTTGGACACAAGTATGTAAATCTCATGGCAACAAATGCTTATGTAGAAAGTAAATGTAGAAAGCCATTAAAACTGGCTCTTGAATCCAGTACACATATTCTCCATTGATGGGAAATAATAGCTGATAAATATTGACCTGTAGGTATTGAAATGGCTCATAACATGTTTAAAATAGCTTTTGTTGTAACACAGCTCATGAGAATTTTTGTCTTCAGGTTGAAGCAGATATCTTCTGACACGTTATTAATCATGCTAACAGTGAATTGTTCTGCTTGTCTTTTGGTTTGTAGGTCTTATCCAGCCTATTCCAAAAAACCAGTTTTTCCAAAGTTATTTTAATAATAATTTTGTCAATGAAGCAGATAGACCGTACAAGTGTTTTTACTGTCATCGAGCGTATAAAAAGTCTTGCCATCTTAAACAACACATCAGGTAAGGTAACAGGTTCAAAGATGGAGATTGAGTATACTTACAGAAAGTCAGTAATTTGTTGACTTATAGAAGTATTTCAGATGATATTGTTGGCTTGTGGTATTTAAAATACCACATTTGGCCCCAAAATATTTATTGATGATTATTTTTATTCTTTTTTTTTTTTTTTTTTTTTGTTTTTTTTAAAAAGGGTTTCCTCACTATGTAGTCCCCACTGGCCTGTAACTTACTATGTGGACCAGGCTGGCCTTGACCTCAGAGATCTGCCTGCCTCTGTCTCCCGAGTGCTGGGATTAAAGGTGTGCACCACCACGCCTGGCCTGTTTTTATTCTTTAATATCGTCATTCAAATATTTTAGTCAGAAATTGCCACTGAATTTTATTCATATTCTCATTATATTTTAGTGTTTATAATCTCCTTGTTTTTAAGTGTTTAAGTTTTTCAGATGTCTTTATGAGAGCTTAATTCTTGGTGCTAGCATCCTTGAAAATAAAGTAGAATACTTTATCATGAGAGATAGTGTTGTCCTGAAAATGGTTAGAAGATGTGGGCTCTCACCTCGTTTGTGTGCAGTTAGGTGACTCTGAGCAAGTCACTTAGCAGTCGTGTCTCAGGTTTTCTCACTTATAGGATGTGGAGGTTTAGAGCTTTGCTGCCTGTCTTAAAAAAATGTGTTCATGAAATAAAGTATATACTAGGTGCGCTTGTTATAAAGCATATAAGTGTATAATGAATATATTAAGATTTTATTTTCACTTTTTAGATCACATACTGGTGAAAAACCTTTCAAATGTTCTCAGTGTGGAAGAGGCTTTGTCTCTGCAGGAGTGCTCAAAGCTCATGTCCGAACACACACTGGCTTGAAGTCTTTCAAGTGTCTAATTTGTAATGGAGCCTTCACCACAGGTGGCAGCTTACGGAGACACATGGGTATACATAATGACCTCCGTCCTTACATGTGTCCCTATTGCCAGAAAACATTTAAGACCTCACTAAATTGCAAAAAACACATGAAAACCCATAGGTAGGTATAATGATGATGGTCACTTTTTAATTATCTTCATAATTCCCAGATGGTGGTGAAGAGAGGTGTTAAGAAGTAATTGTCTTTGATTCCTGTATTGTTATTTTTAACTTGGAGTATGTGGACTCAAGAACCCAGCTCTTAGTGCCTAGGAATCTTATAGAGAGTCATAGGTGACTACATGTGCTTGTGTGTTTATTTTTCAATTATTTTTTTTGAGCTGGGCACCATGATGTTCACCTTTTAGTTCTTGGGAGGCAAAGGCAGGTAAATCTCTGTGAGATCAAGAGCACCCTGGTATACATAGCAAATTCCAGGTCATCTTGGGCTGCCAGGAGACCCTGTCTCAAAAACACACACAAAAAAACAAAACAAAAATACAACAAAAAAAAATTTTTTTTTGAGCCAGGTGTAATTCTCCCTGGGACATGGGGGGCTGAGGCAGAAGGATTGCTGTGAGTCAAAGGCCAGCATGGGTAGAAAGTGAAAGCCACAAAACCATCCCCTACCCATTCTTGTGTACATATTTATTTATTTATATTTACTTATTTAATTTTTATTTTTTCAGGCCAGACTGTATCCAGTTTTATTAAAGATATTATTTATAACTAGTCATGGTATTTCAGGCAGGACATGGACAGACAATCATTAACAGCACACAAGAACTTTCCAACTCCCTTTTTGTATGGACGACCAAAAGCAGAAAGCCACTATAAAATCCAATGAAGTCTTCATTTGATGCCCCAAATGAGGAAAGTTTAGAGCAAAAGTTGACATTTCACATTAAATATGTTGGTAACAACTTCTTACAAGCCGGCCCTGACTTTTAGGAAATGAAATGAAAATGGCAGCGATATCAGTCTGAAGACCCACAGTCCTTTAGAAAAAGAACTGCTGGAGCGGGCTGGAGAAGTGGCTCAGTGATTTAGAGCACTGGCTGCTCTTGCAGAAGACCTGGGATTGACTCCCAGCACCCACATGGCTGCTATGAACCATCCTTAACTCTAATTCCAGGGGAGTCCGAAGCCCATTTCTGACCTCCGCAGCATCATACAACAAGGGTACATTCACATACATGCAAGTAATTCGCTCATACACATAAAATAAAAATAGTAAATATATATATTAAAAAGAAAAAGAAACAGAACCACTCTTCTTTTGAGGAATTCCACCTCAGTGATAGCATTGCAAAGTCCAGATCGCCTGACACATTGGCAAAACCAGTTTTAGGGGGTCAGGGCCCAACAGACCTGTTTTTAAGGAGTTAAGTATGGAAGGAGAGAAAAATATAAAAATGAGTTTTGACTTTTCCAACACCATAAAGCTTTTTGTGTTAAGGTGGCTATGTGTGTCAACATCAGGAAATTCTTCCTGGGAACCAAGAGGAAATAAAAACTAGCAGGGAACAATGTTTCTGCCACATCAGTCCAGCTCAGGAGATATTTTATTAGTAACACATGTCCACCCCCTCACCCCCCAAAAAATAAAGTATTCTGTGTGCTAACAACGTAGCCTTCAAAAAAAGTAAAAGAAAATTCTGCACTATTATAAAAAACTTGGTAAAATAGTGTTTCAACCTGTCCCATCATCAGAAGCACACAGCTCTTAAAAAGTGTGCACACCTTCCTTGCCATCTGAGCATTGGCAGCTGTCTTCCTGGTCTGTTTTTTCCGTCTTCTGCAGGGCTGTTCCCGTAAATGCCAGCAGCAGCTTCTTCTTTGGGTCCCTTCTCTCTTTAAGGCCTTGGCCCTGTCTTTGGAGAAGCAGGTTTAGCAGGCAGCCTTGCAGATCTTCTCTGTGGCACCTCTTCACCTTGGCTTTATCTCTTTTAGCCTTCCCTTCAGCCCCTTCGGTGTGAAGCGCTGAACTAGGGGATCCAGTGGTGTGTGGTTTCAGTTGGTCCAGGGATTGTTGTTGTTCTTCTGAATATGTGTTTTTTTTTTTTTTTTTCAAAAGGCTGTCACTGTATAACTCAGGCTGACCTCAAATGTTTTATTGTAAGCTCTTTTTTATAGCTGAGAGTCAGATGACTGGCTGACTATACTATGCCTAGGATAGTGTAAGATTTTTAATAAATAGTGAAGATTTTTTAAAAAGAAGCTCTTAATCAACCTCTAGATTTCTAGTTTTTTGCTTTGCTTTGTTTGTTTATTTTTGACAGGGTCTCCCTAGTCCCAGCCTGCCTGAAAGTCATTGTGTGGACCAGGCTGGCCTCCATCTCACAGAGATCTACTTGCTTCTGCCTTCCAAGGGCTGGGATTAAAGACACATGCCACCCCGCCTAGCTAGTTTGGTTTTTCAAAAGTTTCCTTTATATTAATTCATGTGTGTGTGTGTGTTTGTGTGTGTATATGTATGTGCATGTACCTGTGTCCCACACGTGAGGTCAGATGACAGCTTTTGGGAGTCAGTTCTTTCCTTCTAGCATATGCGCTCCAGAGGTTGAACTCAGGTCACCAACTTGATAGCAAGTGCCTTTACACACTGAGCTATCATACTGGCCCAGTTTCTAGGGTTGATTTATCATTTTTATTTTGTGTGAATGAGTGTATTTCCTGCATGTATGTGAGTGCACGTGTGTCGTGCAGTGCCGCGGAGGTCAGAAGAGGGTGTAGGATTCCCCTGGAACTGGAGTAAGGATGGTTCATAGCTGCCATGTGGGTGCTGGGAATTGAATCCAGGTCCTCTGCAAGAGCACTGACTGAGCCATGTCTCCAGCCCCCAGTTTCTAGGTTTTATAAATGCATCTCAGCGATACAGCGATATTCTGTTCCTGAGATACAGAACAGGTGTCTTAGATATTCTATGAACCCATCATTCAGTGTAATCTATATTTCTCCTTGATGGAAGGCTGGTCCAATCCAAATGATAAAAGAGATGTTTGTAATGAACTGAGGCTTTGTGGACTAGCACTTCTGTGAAGCTACAGCATTCTGTAGTGTTGTATAAAAATCTCAGCTCATCTGAAATAATTGCTAGTCCTATTGTTAAAACCACCACTGTGGAACATTGACTTTTGGACAGACGAGTCTAATTCAGATCTCTTGCCAATATATTTCCTACAAAACCAAACCCCATGTGTTAGAATATGTTAACTATGATAGTTTTATTGTTTGTTTGGTGTTTTCCTGCTTTGAATATCTAAGCACAGTTAACAGAATTGACTTGATTTTGGAATATTTAGCCAGGAAGTTAACTGCTGCTCAAGAGCACCCAGGGAGTGAGTATCATATTGATGGTGTCAAGTTGTAACCTCACAGTTTGTGTCTATGATGCAGCTTGTGGAGGACTGTTTTAGTACAGAACCTTTTTTTGTTGTTTTTGGGCAGGATCTTACTATGCAGCCCTGGTTGTCTTTGACCTTGCTATGCAGACCAGTCTGGCTTGGAATTCAGAGAGATCCACCTATTTTTGCCTCCCAAGTTCTGGAATTAAAGGCATGCATCACCAAAAACTAACCAGCACAGGACATAGGCAAAACATAGTATATGTTTTGAAACGTGATTGATGATTGGCCAATTGTGTTGATTTTTTTCATTACTCTGACAAACACCTGAAAGTTCATTTTATATTTATTTATTTATTTATTTATTTATTTATTTTCCTTTTTGAGATAGGGTCTCCCTGTAGCCCCAGCTGGCCTGGAACTCACTATGTAGACTAGGCTGGCCTCGAACTCA